CTTGTCTTATCTGGGGGTCTTATCCCATTCTTTGTGTACACGTCACTTTAACAATGGTGGAAAGAAGTTAGTCCAAGCTGAAGTACTTGAGTATTCACATATTTTTACTACTTTATAGATGTACCTAAATAGAGGAAAATATTAGACTTTCTATTCCACTTATTTATGTGACAACTGTTCTTACCAAATACTCTAAAAGTGCCAATACACCAATGTTAATTAAAGTCATGCATTTCTAATTGTACCTCAGTAAAAGCAGTTTCAAAGTGTAACAGTAGGCGTACAAATAACTGCCCCTAACTGATTTTCTTTTTAATGCATCAAATTATTAGATTGTTAAAGCTGCATAGGTTTGCAATGGTTCAATGAAGGAGGGTATGATCATAAAAGCAGTACCTAGACAACAATGTGAAAACAATGTAACAATATCTCAAAGAGATGCTCATACTCATGACAGAAGGTAAACAACCTCTCAACACCACCGGCAGGTCGGCATAGTTCCAACTAGCTGGTTAACATTGTGGAGATTAAAAGCCAGATGGTTCACTCAGAAGCAGGATGTTGTTGCTCTCCAGCTAGTGTAATTAAGTATCTGTTTGCTAATAAGTTGCTACAACAAAGTCAAAGGTACAAATATGTAAAATTGTTATGGTTGATTCAGTACAGATCTGTGGATAAGCAGCACTCTACAGTTGTAGCAGCTTTGATGTTCAGTCCTTTTAGTGTAATGCTATCTAGTCCTGTGGTTCCCAACCTATGGTGTTTATGTTTGAGTCCAGTGCTAAATTGTTGACGTACTCTTTTCAGTAGTATTTAAATTCAGGAGTTTTACCTAAATTCAGTATTTTTCAATTGTTGTAGTAGTACTTTGACATCAGTGAAAGATAAGAGTACTTGATAAAGAATCGGCAAAAATTAGGGCTCAAGTTCTTTATGCATTTTGCCTTTTCAATCAAATTTTCCTTTTATACAAATGTAGGTGTTCTCCTGTGTGTGGAGCAGTCAGTGGTCAAGATCTACTCTGAGGATCCTGATTGCAACCTTGAGTCGTCCTCAGCCGGGCCAGAGTCACTTTCACAGTCGCTGACAGCGCCCCAGGCAAAGACCCTGCCCAAACCTGTGAGACTGGATCCTCTAAGTCCTGAGATCACACCCAACTCTCTTTGCTCTCTCACAGGTCAGTTTCCCTCCATTTCATTGAGCCCTGTGGTTTCACTATAACTTGCCTAATCTGAACAATCTGAACAATTCCTGAAGAACATGCCCGATGTGGTGTTTTTCTCAGGGGAAGAAAACCACTTGTTTGTTTTTGTTTCATCTACGAGTTTACAGCTCAGCAGGAGGCATTGATGTGGCTTTAAAGCATTTCTTTCTGCTGTTTGTTATTTAGTGTCCTTAGGCTGTCATTGTTCAGAAATGTATGAAATAAAAACACATGAAATTTTGTTGGATTCTTCCCCATTCCCAGGGAAATTTACACGCCTGCTCCACATAAGGCTTTAATTGTCAGAGGAAGGTTCAGCAGTTTTAAATTGCAGGCCTCATATCATTGTTCAACCCAAATCTCATAGGCTGTGCACATTCTAATCATTATGATTTCCCTATTGTGAGATATGATCAGTACCGCTTAGCTGGGGAGTGAAGTTTGGGTGAAGTTTTTGCAACTAAATTAAAATATAGAACTGTTTCTTTTACATCAGCTGCATCAGTCCAATATCTTCGATTGAATCACTGTTTCTTTCTGCTTATGACATTTTGTTGCAGTATAGAGCGACACAAAATCAGATAACAATCTGCATCTGTCGACTTCATGTCACACCGGAGGGCAGAGATCACACTGTGAACCCTCTTGTTTCAGCCCCCTCTGGCCCAACAAGTTTGGTCAGGTGGCTGAAAATAAATAAAACAATCTTATTATCTTTTGGACTTGTGCACAAATGTTATCTTCTGGAAATAACCGGTGGAAAAAACGAAAGAAGCTCAGACCGGAAAATACGAGAGAGATTTATCTGTGTTAAATTCAGTATCATAGTTCTGGTCTGATGTTTTTGTTTGAGGAAGGAACTGTGGTTTCTTACTTGAGATGGTGTGAAGGCAGGGCGCACTCTGCTGCATTTATCACCCCAATCGCAGATACAAATTAATGGGGTGTGCTTTTCTCTTCCACCTTTTCAAAAACATATGTTTTGAAACCTACAATTTTTATTCCCCTCCAGTGTTTTTTGCAGTTTGGCATCATTTTTTTATTTTAGACATCCACCAGTTAAAACAATTCTGAAAGATATGAAGAACTTTATGTTGGCGTATATGTTTTTCAAAGATGTTTTGTGTGTGAATTTTTATTTATGATTATCCTGCAGGGGTGATCGTTGGTGTGGACGAGAGCACTGCTTACTCCTGGCCAGCCTGCAACCACTGTGGGAGTGACAACCTCGAGACGTACTCTGAAACAAAGTAAGTTCTCATGTTAAAGCAAAACAGCTTAATGTGAGATATGCTGATGAAACATCACTTTTTATTTTCTGTATTATCTCTCCACAGTCAAAACTTGCACTGTGGTTCCTGCAAGACAGTTGTAGAAACGCCTGACATGAAGATTCAACTGGAAGTGTCTCTGAGCACTTCAATAAGTAACTGTACTTTAAAGGTTAAGGTGAGAACAGCATTTCAAGGTTCTAAGTGAGCCGAAGTGTAAAAGTGATGATTTATACTGGACTCTTTATACTGGACCTAATGTGATGAAGTATTTCTTTGTTGGGACTGATAATTTCCTGGAATGTTCTCAGGTTTTCTCCCAACATGGCTTTAAAGATGTCACCTGGCTGATTTTGTGTGCTTTCCAAGACTCAAAGTCCCCTACCATTTATTAAATCTGAAAAAGATTCAAATGTCCCAATGCATGTAAAAGAACTGAACTACAGTATGCAAAGAAAATCTACATCTGGTCACATTTTGCTCTATGCAAGCTAGCATGCTGTTTTGAGTCTATTTTGACCGATAATACTTACTGTGAGTACATTATTTAACAAAACTTAAGATGCAATATTATGTTGAAGTAATATATCAATATGTATGTTTACTGTAGGAAAAGTACATACAGTATGTCTAATGTGGAATGCATACTGTACTAGAAAGACACAGAGGGGGATTTGGCATGCATGAGTGGTTTCCTTTGGAGAGAGTCAGTCTTTCCACAAAGCTAAGATAAGCTATCAGCTGCAGGTTGAAGCTTCATATGAAGGGATTGAAGCAAAATAACGTTTAAGAAATACATTTTAAAAAATCAATCAGTTGCCTTAATAAGTAAAGAAAATAAGCAAAAGGAGGTTCAATGTATAGACACATAGTCTTCTAATTCACCAAGGTGCCTTAGTAACTTGAGATTCATAAAGATTACATAATTTTTCCAGGCATTAATGAAATGAATAAATAAACCTTTGAAGCATTTTGATAGTTACAATAGATTTATTATTGGATACCTGCTGCTGCTATCAAGACACGTAGTATTGGACATAGATAAAACTATCAGTTGCACCTATCAGCTAACTGATGTTATTTACCCCGTCTATTGGTCTATTAGTCATCAGTGAGCACACTGTGTCAGTGTAACATGTTGGTTGATCATTAAAAAAAATGTATTGATGGCTCTGAACCCTTCCGTATCTCCGACAGCTGCAGCAAAAGACAATCATGTCCATCTTAAACACCACAGCACTGGAGGGTAATGAGGTAGGTCTGCTTTTACAAACATTTACATAACTCTGGGCTGGACTGGTGCATCGATCTTCTGTCAATAAGTCCTGAAAGCGCAGTCATCTGTTCATGTCAGTCTGTTCTGTACAGAACACTAAAATCTCTGAGTCATCAATACAGCTAAAGCAATTCGCTGCCAAAATACTGATGTAATCTTCCTCCACCTCCTAGCAGTTTTACTCTGTGGATTAATGTCCTTAACAACCTGTAGGTGGGGAAGTTTTTCATAATCTTTGCACACAGTTTTGCTTTTTTAGGTAGTTCATAAGTGCAGAATCATTTGTTAGATAAACAGAAATACTGCTGAGCAATGTGCAAAGGTCAGGGCCTTAAGTCCACTCGGACATAATCAGATAAAAAAAAAAAAAAGTGCAAGTAATGCCCGAAAAGATCAGCCTCAAGAGGTTTAAAGTTCTAAATAAAGTGTGCAAAGTGTGAGTTTTTTGATGGACCATTACTGTTCCAGTTCCTAGGTTACGATGTGGAGAATGTCCTGGGAAAAGAGGTGGGCCCCATCCCTGCTTATGTCCGAGTGGTCACCAGGAAACCCGCCATCTGGATCGGCTTGGAAGAAATCTGCCTCTGAGGAGACCGTCAGGACAAGTAACTAATGGATATCAATCCTCAGGCTTCAGCTGGCTCTACAGATCTGCACACTAGGCTTTGGTCTGAGCCTGTGCAGCCTCTTCTACCCTCAGCCCCCCTCTGAAGGCCTCCCTGACAGCTTGAGGCTGTGCTGGAATGAACTGAACTGCAAGAAGACAAGGTCTTGTTTGTGTTAATGATATGTGATCCTGTGGAGCGGGAGTTGACAGCCCAAGGGTAGACCAGTCGCATGCAGTCTGTCAAAGCAGCCCACGTGGTTCATCAATGCGTTGTGACTCTTTGAACAGGACTTCTGGCTGTGAACCCAAGTGGCTTTCCACACCTTTTGTTCCAACTAATCTACCTCTGTGTGTAAGATCTCTGACACTGTCAATAAAAGTTGTATTATTGCTGACTTTGCTCTCTATTTCCTGTTGCAGTTCTTTTTTTTTTTTTTTTAAACAACACCCTTCCTCAACTTAACCCTCATTTGCAAAGACTACTCACAAACCAGGATGTTTCTTCACATTTTCAGTGATTTTATTATAGATTCCATAAACAAAATGTTTTCAAGGTTTTATACAAACTATATAAAAGATCATGCTCTGGCTCTTATACAAAGTTTGGAATTATAAAACATGTACCATATCAGGTATAATATGTAAATGCAGTGGTAAAATAATTTAATACAGAAAAAATCCCACAAAAATATGGCAGCAACATCATATATTTTCCAGTGCCATTATGGTAAGCTTAAAATACATCTGGTACAGATGGTAAGAAAAATTGTCTGCTGAGGTATGTCTTCTGGAACTCAGTTCATAGAGTAATTATTCATCTGTCACCGGCTCTCTGCACTCGAGGGCCCCACAAAGGACGAATTGGGCATCTGCTTGAAGAAATCTCTGAGCCCAGTGAGCTCTTTGGTTAGCTGCTCGATAGTTTTATGAAGCCTGTCGTTATCAGAGCTCAGTTCAAGCAGCTTCTGCTGCATGTCCAAGTTACGCAGCTTGGCTTTGTCCCTGCTTTTCCTCACTGCAATGTTATTCCTCTCTCGTCTCTGTCGATACTCCATGCTGTACCTATCCACCGACTTCTTGCCCTTTTCCCTCCCCATCTTCCTCGGGGAGGACTTAGCAGAGCTGACATTGGAGACAGGCTCCGGGGTGGTGGGAGGAGTGGGCTGCCCTGTAGGGAGGCTGACGGAGGTCTGAGCGCAGTTTTCGATCTGGGAAGGCAAGGATGAGGAAACGTCACTGTCACTCCAGTCAGACTCCTGTTTGATAGGAGCGCTGAACAACCCTTTAGACAGCCCGCTGTCAGTCTTCCTCTCGGCAGTGAATGCGGCTGACAGCTGCTGCTGATGTTGCTGATGTTGCTGATGTTGCTGCATGCTGCTGGGCAGCACGGAGCTCTGCAGGTTGTAGAAATCCGCCTTCTCCTGCTTCACAGTGTTGAACAGGTCAAGGAAAAGCTCATCGTTGCACAGCTCCAGGTTGGGCACGGCTGTCATGGACTCAATGTACTGGCTGAAGTCGATGGCGCTCTCGTCGTCGTACATGGCAGCGGCGGTGCTGAGCTCCACCATGGTGCCGACCTCGCCCGCAGCGTCGCTCCTGCTGCCCGGCTTGCAGAGCCCCTGCTGCGGGCCGCCCAGCTTGGTGCTCTCGTAGAAGTTAGCAGGCTCCATCGCCCAACTCATGTTGCATTGTGGAGACACGCAGTGAGAGTCCAGGCTGTATATGTCACACATGAACCCTGGTGACTTTTTCCCACGTGGTTTAGAAAGGAAAGAAACTTAGTGAAGTGTTACCCACAGATGTGACAGCTCTCTGCATAAAATGACTCTACAGCGGCTTCACTTGCTTTTTCTGCAGGTGCGCTTAAAAAAATAAAAAATCGACTGATTCACCTCTAAACACTTGTCTGAGGCAGCTGTACTTTCGCGGAGTGTTTTGTATCGGCTCCCCGCTGACGTCACACGCACCGCCCTCTCACGAGCCAGTCAACTCAAAACGGGGGTCACGTGGTGTCCGTCAATTTCCCATTTGAGGAGAGAGGGGCGTGTTGCCTGTGCCACCCACTCTTTACTACGATTGTATGAATGGTTCAGAGTTGTTTACATACTGAAGGTGCACTTCAATTTGTTCCGTGTCACAAGTCCCATGAATGTATTCAAAGAGCCATTACAGAAGTTAAAGTGACGAAACCACACTTTGGAAGTGCTAACTGAACATATTATAGAATTAGAAGAAATGAGTGTTTAATGAACTTCAATTATTGACCACAAAATGTGTCAAATATACAGAAAATATTATGATAAAGGTAGTTTGTGGGGAAAATAAAGTACTTCTTTTCAGTTGTAAAAACTGTCTATATAATCTATTGTCTATAATGTCTATAAAATATATTATTGTGCATTATTCGCCTTATACTATAATTAACTGCACTAAGTGTTTAGCCAATACTTTTAGATTGCTTTTAAATTAAGATTTAGTTATTTTAGTGACTCGATTTTTTTTCTGTTACTCTACCGCATGTTGACATTTATTTTTTTGGTATACCAATGTTTATGTGTGAGGTTAAAGTCATCATCTGTCTACCTAAAGAGCTCTGTCCAAAACAGGTCTAATTTACAAAATAACACGTTTTGAAGAAAGCAACACATGCTTTTTAAAACCTTGCCACATGTATAACTTCAAATGGTTAGCACTCTTATGCTTCTGGACTTGATGTTGACCTCTGAGTGTTCAGTTGAGAGGAAATGCACAGGTTTGAATGTAGGCCTATTTAAAGATACCAGCTTTATCGGACAAATATGTTTACAATGGAGCAATTTATTTACCCATAAAAGGACAGGTGTTTGAAATGACAAATGGAACAATATATTAGCTTTTTTTGTTTTGACAAACATCAATGCTTTGTTTAGTTATTTCAGTTGTACAAAACCAGCATTAACAAGATGTCATCTTCTGTTCCGAGTTAATCTCATTTACACAGAGGCAGAACATATTTACAGAAGAAAACACAACAGGACACAAACAAAGATGCTTTAGAATAAATTAATGTAAACCTTCTTATGGCTGCTATACACAGGTGACATAAAAAAAAAGTCAAACTGTGACTGCATACTGAACATAAATGTTGGAACAAACATTTTATCGATATCAAGCTGCTTTATGCTGTTAAACGAATATGTTTGGCATGACAATGACATTTCAGTATATAAAAAGCTTTATTCATTAAAAGGCACTTATTTGAAATTCACATTAAAGCAAAAAAAAAAATTTGAGTAGGCCTACATATAGAAATATACACCGATTCATTAACTGAATATGGCTGATGATTTTTTAAGGTAAACACAAAAGATGTTGCTGACTATCTTATCTTAAAACACTTATTATTTAACAGCCCTCTTTGGGAACACATGTCCTGACACTTCTCGGAAACACTCCCATGTTTTCCTGTTAGGAAGTCTGCTGTACTTTTCCGCTGTAAAAGCCTCTATTTGAAATGGAAAGTTTGCCACCTGGTGGTCAATCAACGCACCTGCAGGGAAAGATGCAGATCTGATGGAAAAATACTTCCGGTTGCTCCCATACAGTTACCAGAAATTTCTAACATTTCTTAACCATCTGGAAAGCTGATTCATTGATAGACTGTAAATATTCAGGTTTTATTGAATTAAGGTGACACCTATTCAAACTTCCCCATTTGTAGATTTAGTCCAGTTATACTCTATTAAAAATTGAAAGTTTATTTTTTAATTTAAATCTATTTTCCAATACTTTTCCTAATAGCATATATGGCCTCGTATTCGAGACCATATATCCCATTACGCAACAAATAAACGACTTAAAATGAAAATTGTCTTCCTTAAAAACATCTTTTAGTATTCTTTAATTATTGTATTTTGGATTCAACCCATTGCATACACTTACTGCTATGAGACTAGTATGAGACATTTTATAACAATTTAGGCCACTGGTTGATTGTGTTTAGAAGTTTTTAAATAAAGAAAGTTAGGGGGATAAAAAAAAATTAGGAAAATTACTGTCGGACCGAACCAAATACGCTTAAGGGTAAGTACCAGAACAAGACTACGAGTAGGAAGCGCAGATTGTATTTGAATGATCATAGACAGGTAGTGTGTAGTTTCTGTTTCATTTTATAAAACACTTTTTAACGCCTTTAACGAGTCACTCTGTTAAATTCAAGTCACAACGAGTGAAATCCAATATGAAGCCCCCCCCCATCTGAAGTGAAGGCATACGCCGGAAAGAGAACGTGTACTCTCTCCTGCTATTGGTCCAAAGTTCCCCGCGAAAACTACGTCATCCGCAGTTTCGCGCCAGATCTGCAGGACTCGGACGTACACAGAAGAAGAAGAAGAAGAGGTAAATCGTTCTTATTCTTCAGTATAACTTCATAAACGTATCGATTATTTCAACTGATTGAAAGTTCATGTTGTTTTGCTCGTTTTGTGGTTGCGTGTGCCCTTTGTGATGTTAACATGCTCATTGTAAGAGTTCAATAAAGTCAAACATTGCAGGCAAGTCTCCGCTCATTGTTTCTAATGCACCCACATGTCAAATGGTGGTTGTGGGTTATTTTCGACTGAATCAGTGCCTCCAATAAAGTTTAGCGTAAGATATATTTGTGAATTAAAACGCACGTTGTTACGGTAAAGTTCAAGTTCTTAATTCAAGAAAAATAGACTTTTAAGTTTTAGTTTTTTTTTCCCCATTGTGGGTTATTGAAAAGTTCAGACACACTGGCTAAACAATGCAACCCTTCAACTTTACAGGTGGATTAACTGAAACATAATCACACTTTGGATCTTTGTGTCTTCTTAAAGAGTCACATTGAACATCATTTTTAGTCTGGGGGAACCAAATTCCCACTTTTCCTTAGCACATGCAAAGAAGAGATATATTTGGGATTTTTGTACAATTTTATAAGAATTCAGCAGGTCCACCTGCAAAAATCAGCGTTGTGCAATTTCTTGGCTGCTCAGACTCATTCAAAGAGATGCATCTTTCCATCCTGGCCTTTTACTGTTCCTGAGGTCTGGTGAATAGATGTGTTCCCCCTTCAGTCAGAGTTTGTTTTGACTTTTTTTTTTTTTTTTAGCAGAGGTCACAAATTACTCTGCTACCTTTTTTTATTTTGGTTTTGTATAACTTTATTTCTGCGCTTTAGATATCCTGAAACCATGTCTTCTCCAACATCGACTCCTGGCCGCAAACGTGGAAGGAACACAAACCCATCCACACGTATGCATCTTCTTTTAATTCTTTTAAGACATTTCCTGTGTCCTAAATGAAAAGTAACGGCTCTGATGACTGTGTCACATGACTGTGTTTGTGTATACAGTTGTCAATCTAAGTAATAACTTTCGTCATTTGTACCTGCAGCTAGCAGTGAGGGTCCCACCTCCCCTCCCTCTCAGAGGCGCAGAGACCATGACTCCTCCACTGGAGACCTCATGCCGATGCCGACCTCTCCTGCCACAGACGTGCTGAGTCCAGCAGCGCCTCAGGACACCTCTCTGTTCTCTAGCCCACGTCCCTCAGGTACCTACCACCCCAACAAGTCCTGGGTTAAAGTTATTTTGGTTAATTTCAGTCTCATTTATTTATTATTATTTTCATTTTCTTGGTCTCTCTTTTAAACAGTCCTACCCAATGAAGTGGACATGAGCTCTCCTCTGATGTATGGGACCCCCAGCTCCAGGGTTGAAGGGACCCCACGCAGTGTAGTGCGAGGCACCCCAGCTCGACAGCGCCCTGATCTGGGGTCAGTCAGGAAGGCTCCACAAGTTGATCTTCAGTCTGAGCCGGTCAGTGGAGTCATCAGGAAGAAATGTATTGTCCAGATTGTGCCACTTGTTTTAATGATTGAGTAAGGCCAGGGCTATTAGCACAAAGACAAACTTGAAACCACAGTAGCTTAAAATGTTCTTGTTATTTTGCAGCCCAGTACTGAGGGTGCCGTAGCCAGTGAGCCGAACTCGGGTCAGAGACTGGTGATTTGGGGGACTGACGTTAATGTCGGGAATTGCAAGGAGAAATTTCAGGTACATTTCAGCCTAATTTGAAAGTCCACATTCTTAGTACTGAAGAGTTATTGTTGACATTTTTGCTTCACTTTTCCTCCAGAGGTTTCTGCTGAGGTTCATCGACCCAACATCCACTGAAGACGAGAATGCTGGTCTGGACCTGAACGAGCCTTTATACATGCAGAAGCTGGAGGAGGTAGGGAATTCAGTGAATTTGATTGAGTTATGTCTGAAACCGTTTTCACATATGCACTCCGGATAATATCTAGATATTTACAGGAGGACTTCTCCGGAGATTCTCCCGAACTAGCCGTTCACATATGCTCCTCACAGCGGGGGGGATTTCCCGACGTAAGACGTGACGTAAATAAACAATGTGGAAGTAGCGGCCGAAGCAACAGAGTCCACCACACGACGCTACAATGAGAATATTAGCCTTTTTATCAATGCTACGTGTAATCCAATGGAATGACAACATCCACAAAAGAGTGGAGAACAACAAACTGACAACAGAAAACATAATGCAGCCGTTTAATTACGTGCACGGAGATCGTAGTGGTCGCGGGCAGACACTTTAGCCGGTCACTGTATATAAACGTCATTCTCTTCTTATTGGCTCAAATTGAAATCTCCAGAGTATATTCGGCCGCGTTCAGACATCAGCTCACTCGGATATTCTGCGGATAAAACACTAGGGGTCTGGCCGGAGAAACTCCGTGTAAAGTCCGTGCAGAAAAATGCGGCTGTTTGCGTTCACACATAGCTTAAAGAACCTCCGGGTAGCCAAATCTCCGGAGTTTTTCAGGAGATTTCCTTATGTGTGAAAAGGTTTTGAGTGGGACTAACTGAGAACCTGAACAATACCTCAGCTAGACCATTAATTAATGTAAACTTACTCATTCTTCTGTTGTGTTTCACAGATCAGTGTTGTCGGAGATCCAGTGCTGAGCGTGAACTGTCGGCATGTGCAGTCCTTTGATGCAGAACTATACAGGCAGCTCATCTGCTACCCACAGGTAATATCCTGTAATTATTCAGAACTTAATTGCAGACCTTGTGCACGAATAACAGACTGATTGAACAAATGATTTGACCTATTTTTCTTCAGAAGGATCTCTATTTTTGGCTTCATATTTTGTTTTTTTAAAAGGATTTAATTGAAATGTTCTTTAAAAAGCATCACAATAACACTTATGTTTAGAAAGGTGGAGGTTGATGTCATTATGACTTCCCTTCCCTCATTACAGAAATGAGAGGATTCATTAAAAAGCTTCCAAGATTTTCAAGGTTTTTGTCTCTTAAAAGGATGTTTTTTTTCTTGCCACTAACTTTTGCTAAATGATGTGCTCGTGATGGATCAATGTTGGGTCTTTGTAATATTAAATAACAAAGAGTAAGGTATTTTATCTCCTGTTTGTAAACACTTGTTATGAGTCGGCGCTACACAAATAAAGATTGACGATGAACTCTTAGGTCAAGTTAACTGGTTTATTTTTGTCACTCTTATGTCTTCTGGAAGTTTAAAACTTCTTTGTCTTGTTGTTGAAATGAATAATACTTTACACCTTGTCGTCTTAAATAGTGCATCTGTACTTATAGTGAGTATTATTTATATCTTTACAGGAAGTCATCCCAACCTTCGACATGGCAGTCAATGAGCTTTTCTTTGAGCGTTTTCCAGACTCTGTCCTGGAGTTCCAGATCCAAGTCCGCCCCTACAACGCCCTGAAAACCAGGAACATGAGGAGCCTTAACCCAGAAGGTGTGTGAACTCGGCACGCTCATGTCACTGGATGTATACAAAGTGAAATCACACTTATTAGGACTGACATACCCAGACATATTTAGTGTGGGCTTTTTGTGAATATTGTCTGATACTTGGGTAAAATGTGAGACATCAGCTCGAGGCTTAAGCATCTGTGTGCCTTCTGTGTTTCCCCTACAGACATCGATCAGCTGATCACTATCAGTGGCATGGTGATCCGCACCTCGCAGCTGATCCCGGAGATGCAGGAGGCGTTTTTCCAGTGCCAAGTGTGCGCCTACAGCACCCGTGTGGAGGTGGATCGCGGTCGCATCGCTGAGCCGGCTGTGTGTCGCCACTGCAACACCACCCACAGCCTGGCCCTTGTTCACAATCGCTCAGTCTTTTCAGACAAACAGATGGTGAGAGTCAGAGGGGTTAGAGCGTGGGTAACGGGGGCGTGTTGCTTACATTCAATGACACCTAACCCTCAGAATTGTGAAGGAGTAATTTGTATGTGTTTTTCCTGGTCAGGACATCTGTTCAGTTATCGATCTTGTTTCATTACAGGTTAAAATTCAGGAGTCTCCTGAAGACATGCCGGCAGGTCAGACGCCTCACACAACTATTGTCTATGCTCACAATGACCTGGTTGATAAAGTGCAGCCCGGAGACCGCATTAACATCACGGGTAAGATTTCCACAATCTCAGCAATGTAGGATTTTTATTTTTGATGACCAAATACATAACCAATGTCCCGCCAATAACCTGACTAGAGCTCTAACAAGGACAGTCAACTGATCCTCGTTTGCACCCGTAGACATCCTGACCTAACATCTTTTTCAAAATGTCCCTGCAGGTGTCTACAGAGCTGTCCCCATGCGCATGAACCCACGCCAGAACAGCGTGAAGTCGGTGTACAAAACCCACATCGACGCCATCCACTTCCGCAAGACAGACGAGAAGCGTCTGCACGGTTTGGACGAGGATGCCGATCAGAAGCTCTTCACTGAGGACCGAGTTCAGACTTTGAAGGAGCTGGCAGCGAAGCCAGACGTTTATGAACGCCTCTCCTCTGCCCTCGCGCCGAGCATCTATGAGCACGAGGACATCAAAAAGGTGTGTGTGACTAGCGCAAGACTTGGAAGAACTTTGGAGTAAGCAAACACAAACTGTCAGTCACACTGAGCTTCATGAATTGACGATAACATACAAGTGTTTGCATTTTAAATGAACTCCCATTTAAAGGCAGTTATGAGTTTAAATTGGCATTTTGTCATATTACAACAGGAAAAATACTTACTAACAGTAACAATAATGACTAATTTCATTCATTTATTTACGTGTGCTAGGTCCAGGGCCTTGTAATAATACTCACTGGCTTCCTGTATTAGCAGATCTCTTTATAGCAGACATAGTGCTTTAAACCCTTACATAGCAGTCTGATGTGCAAACTCTTAGGCTTAATACGATGTATGATGTGATAATAACAGTTTCTCATTTCATGAGTTTTAAACTGCATCTTGTCTATAATTTGACATGGAAGATATAGACAGTTTTTTTAATCTTCAAGACAAAGTCCAAGAGAAGTGGTATTGTCACATATTCATATATTTATTTTTTAAGTTAAAAAAAATGACCTAATTTCTCGCAACACAGCTTCTGGCTTGTTCATCAAAATATTTAACTACTGTAAGCTCTTCCTCTTACCATGTGAGAATATCCACAAGACCAAAGGAAGGAAAAGAAAAGCTTCATCATGGAAATAGAAAATGAA